AGCTAGGACCACGTGGTACATGTAAAACTCTGTGCTGTCCTGATGCAGGAGAAAAAGGTAGCTGGTCTCAGAATTTGTGCTCACTAGTGCATCTCAGACTGCATGTGTGAGATGTGCTGTGGACCTGGCATATATTGCAGCAAGAGAAATGGAGCACTGTCCTGACTTTAGCCTTACCCAGAGGTCGAGTTTATGAAGGGCTCGCTTAACACAGTGGGAATATGGCTTCTGGGAGTGGAGTCTTCCACAGTTGGATACTGCAGTATTTGCTTTTTTTGAATCCTTCATGTCTTGCCTTTAATACTTTTTTCTGGTGCCCTTCTTAAATTACAGCTGTAATTTAGCGATTGAGTGTGTGTGTGAGCAGATAGGAAGTGCTTCAGTGAGTGGGATTTTCCTCTGCTTTGTAGTTTTGTGGCACAAAATCTAGCTGTTTCTGAAAAGCTGAAACTCCACCTTTTCTTGTAGGAAAACTAGTTGAACAGAGAAGGCATGCAGAGGCAGCCATACTCCTGGAACAGTACTCTCAGGTAACATATCACCCTCGTGTCTGTGCCCCAGTAATACCCTCTGTCAGATAGATACACCATCTGTGTTTTCTCTGTTCTCCTGCACCATATGTGACTCCGTGCATGCTGACAGCAAAACAGTCTGTGCCATGGGCTCCCTGGGGAGGGCAGAGCAGGTCCAGGTGATGCAGTGAGCAGGGTGGGGATAAACACTGTGTCCCTGAGCTTTTCCACTCAGGAAGCTGCCCATGCTTTGATATGAAAACCTTTTGTCTCAGACAGCTGAAGCATGAGGGCTGGACTAAGGAAGACAGAGTTCTAGAGGGGTTTCCCCTTACTGTGGGAGGAGTAACATAGCTGTGGTGGGTTTGTGGTTTTTGTTTGCTTGTTTGGCTTTTTTATGTCAACACTTCAAAGTACCTGGCATAGTAGTGTTTTCCTGTCTTGACTGTGATGCTGCTGCACAGAAGTATGCATCTGAATAGCTGCTACCTGAATGTGTATTACTAGCATCAGTAGCAGCCCATGGTTGCTCTTTCCTTCTAGGACTATGAAGAGGCTGTTCTCCTGCTCTTAGAAGGGGCTCTTTGGGAAGAGGCTTTAAGGCTGGTAAGACATTTCAGAGCACAAGAATTGTTGTGGAAAGGAAGTACTTGTTTAGAGTCCAAGAACAAAGGGATGTGATCTGGGTTAGATCCTTAAATAATACATTCTTTCCTTTCCCTAATCTAGATTCACAAGTATGGTAGACTGGATATCTTGGAGACCAACTTGAAACCTGCTATTCTGGAAGGTGAAACTGCAAAAATCTGATCTCTGTGCTATAGAGGCTAAAGAAGGTCTTTACTGGGAAGTCACAGCACTCCAGTACTGGAAGCTGTGTGGAAGCTTTGCTTCCACCTAACTGATGCATCTCAATTAGCTGCGTTTGGCTCTGCTCAATGCATATCGAAGCCCTACAGTGTCATGGGCTCTCTTTAACTTAGTCAGGCTCCTTTTAAGCTTTTCCAGAGCTCACAGTCACAAACTGAAAAGGTGTCTGTGTGTGCATGTCCATGAACAAGCAGGACAGTCCTGGTTCCAGAGCACACGTGGCAGCAGGGCTACGAACTAGGAAAATGGGTAGCAGCTATAAGTTTTGAGGAGTTCTGAGGAAAAAAAATAGTTGGTAGCTGTATTCTCCCATCCAGGGAGGATGTTTTGTTACCATTATTCGTTGTTCTTCTTCTCAGATTATGGAATTTATTAGTTGAATTTTTTTTCTTTAGTTTAAATCTAATTAATGGAAAGAGACTTAAGCCACAGAACTTTCTGGTCTTTGTGTATCAGAAACAAGACTCTGCTAGAAAACACTTGTATGGCAGGTTAATTCATTCCACATCCAAGGGTATCTTGTTTGGTGGTCTCCTGTATTATAAGCTTTGAATTTTCTTCTACTTGAGTCCTTTTGTGTGCTCTGTACCTGACTTCTGAGCTTCTTGAGGACTGTGCTTGTGTAAAAAATGCTTTTCTGTTTCTGTTGCACAAATGTTGATGTTCGATTTTCTCAATGAGCAGCTCAGAAAAATCAGCTGATCTTCCTAGATTCTCAGAAAACAGCATTTCTTCGCTATAAGAGTCGCCTGCAAGTGGTCCGAGAGCTGAAGGAGAAGGCCTGTGAGAGCCTGCAGGGTTGGTATTGAAGTGCATATGACTTTATCCTGCATAAGTAACTATGATCATCTTTTTCTTTGTGGTTTCCTTTTGCTCTGGTAGAGCTGTGCTCTCCCCCAGCTCCAGTAGCATCTCCAGCAGTAGAACAGCGCTCTCCTCACACCCTGCTCATACCGTACTTGGAGTGTGGTTGTTTTGCCTTCCTTATTCTGTATTTTCAGTGCTATCTTGTGTAACAGCTTTCATGGGATCAAAACGCACCTGAAAGCTCTTCAGAATAACACAGCGTTGTCTCCACAGTGCCATCTTGGCTGGGTGAGACAGTGCTCTGCACGTCCTTTGTGCTGAGTACCTGTAGCCATATTCACCTGCCAGCTCACACAGGCTCAGGGGATTTTTCTGAAAGCAGAATGCTTTGTCCTGGTGCAGATCTGCTGCACTGAGATTGCCATCCCTCTGATTTTGCTGTTCAGTATCACTATCCCCACCAGGGAAGAGGAGCAGTGTTGTTCTCACAATTGCTGTTTCTTCTCGTGTGCTGGCTGAGTGGGATTGAGAGCCATAATGCTCCAGAACACCAGCAGGTAGAATGAATCTGCCCAGCAAACTACATTGATCACCCAGAGAGATAGCTTGAAATAACTCTGATCTTTTTCCATACTGTGACAGTTGTTACCGTGTTTTGCAGATTATGACATGCCAAATTGCCCAGAATTGGAGCTTTTCTCTGAAACCAGCAGTATTGTGACAGCCAGTGACATGAACAGCAGATATTCACACAGCAATTCAAGGATATCAGCGTAGGTATCTGCCTCCAAATTAGGTAGTGACTATTCTGGCATCAGCATTTGGCAGGTCAGCTTGCTCGTGCTTAGAATGCTCCTCCTTGCAGCTGTGTGTGCCTTGAAGCTGCTTTAATTACATGCATTTCATAGTTATTTTAACTCCTATTGGAAGGGAAAGAGCAGAAAATGCCAGAAGCTACTAGTGCAACCGAGTGCCCAGCAGAGGAGCTGTGAGCACAGACTCTGGGCAGGATCTGGCTCTGTGGGTGTTGGGATGTTGCCAAAATAGCTGGCTGTAGAAAGCTTGACACAGATTACAGGCAGAGCCTCTCAAACATTAACAGCTTGTGCGCATGACTTGTGTTCTTTGTCCCTGGTTCTGCACTTGGTGTGTGGGGGTTGCTGCTAAATCCCATACCGATGTCTTCCCACAGCGGGCGTCTGCGTTGTATTTGAGTGCTCTTAAAAATATGGGCTGCAGTGTGGGGTGTGGGGTGTTACAGGCTGGTGTAGTCTGTGGGACCACTTCTGAATTCCCAGCTGAAATGTAGAAAAATACAGTTGTGTAAAAATTGCGGGCTTCTTAGGGAACTTTTTTTTTTTTGTGGACCAGATGTAAAGAGAAAGAGAATGCGGCCTTAGTATTCAGCACACCTGTGCCAGAGTGTGCTGATCACTTGGGAACAATATACAGCTAAGTCTGGCCTATGAATTAAGTTGCTTTCCTGTGATAATGAGTAAGAGGCTCTGGAGACAGCAAAAATTAAAATGTGCACACACAAGTGCCAACCCTGGCACCAGTGTTTCGAGTGGAGCTCATCTTTGCCTGATAGTGACTACTGCTTTGTGCTTAAGGTCATGCTTTAACCTTGCTGGAACACAGAGCAGTCTTTTTTGTGGTAGAGAAACAGTTTGACTCCTGTCTGGTGTTTCAGACCACAAAGGATATGGGTTGAGTAGCGCTGAAAACTTTGTCACAGTGCTGAAGTTTACACACAGTCCCCTGTCACTGTAGAGAGTAAGGACTTGAATAACAAGTCTCATGCACACTGTTGATGTTCCTTCAGACTTACCCTGTTAACAGCCAGTCCTGTTGTGCATCCTGTAACTGAGTGCACTCCTTTTCAGGCGATCCTCAAAGAATCGGCGCAAGGCAGAGCGTAAGAAATACAGCTTGAAGGAGGGGAGTCCTTTTGAAGATATTGCCCTTCTGGAAGTCCTGGGAGAAAACGTTCGTGCTGTTGAGTCTGTGAAGGGTAGGACACTTGGTGGTCTTAATCCACTCTGCTTGTGAGGACAGCTGAGGCACTGTGCCCCGTCTTTTTCTTATTGTGTGTGTTGGAAGGAAAAGTTGCCTGGTCCGTACAACTATCTGTGTTGAACTTTGGTATAGTTCCTCTGGCTCTGTGGTTGGAAGAACATGTGATAGTGTGAGCTCCCTGCATTTGAAATTTGGGAGCAGAGAAGCAAGGCCTTGTCTGTTTCGCTACAGGTTTGTCTTACTTTTGTACTCCAGCACTGTGGGGGCTGGATAGGGACAGAACGAGCTCTGAGTTGCCACTCTCCTTCCTATGCACTGATAGCAAAGAAATGCAGCTGTTTATTTAGCATACTTGCGTTAATTGCTATTGCTTGTGCTTCTCTTCCCTCCTGCAGGAGATATACACATCCTTCTGAAGCAGCTTGTGCTCTTTGGTTATGATGAACAAGCTGGGGCACTGCAGCAAGTCCTGGAAGAGGTTTTGCAGTTGATGGAGACCTCAGTCCCAGAAATCTGGACTCCAGACCTGCATCAGAGCTCTGTCGACCTGGTCTGTGCTCATCCACAATACCTATCACACCTGCTATACAATACCAAGTGTTTACCAGTATTTTGTATTACTCAGCAAGAGTCCAGAATCCTTCCCTGGCTTTCAAAATCTGGTTTGCTTTTTTTTTCTGTAGAGGTTCAGTAGACATTCTGTGCAGTATCTGCCAAGTCAGTACACACTAGATGTGTACAACAGGTATAGCCTACTGTGTCCTTGCACTGAATGCCACTTTGGACATCCTGAGGCTTGTGTTACCTTGTCCTAGTGGTGACTTCTTTTTGTAAACTTTATTTTAAGCCATTTGTAGAACATGGGAACACTGTTTTCTCTTTTAGGCCTAATGGTAGAAGTGTTAACATAGCTTTTATGTACAAGAGTAGTGGTTGTTCAACCTGGTGTTGTGAAGTGAAAAGCTACCAGACCAGTCAGTTTAGTCTGAACCAGTATATCATAAGGAGTATATTGCAAAAAGAAGGCTAATGTCAGGTTTCTAAGCTTCAGCTTAATGCAGAATAAGGAAATCACTAGGACTGTAGTTAGTTCCCTTCCAGAGTAAAAGTCTTTATTTCTAATAAGTGATTTCTGAGCATTCACAGTGAACACAAGATGTTCCCCAACATCTTCTCCATAACTGCTGATCAGCAGGACTCGTAAAGACAGATTAACACTTTTCTGTATGACAGGGAATTGAGGCTCCCAAAAGAACTTTAAATATTGATGGTGCTGTAATGAAATTAGTACTGCCAAGTCATGACATTTACAGGGCTGTGAAGCAGTCGGTGCTGGGATAAGGGTTCTGTGTCCTTCAGAGCTGTGCGAAAGCAGTTTTCTTTCTTCCTCTATGTTAACTTTTCTGAGATATTACTGGACTTGATCACACAGTCCTGGTTACATTGTACTCTGAGGTCTCCTGCAGGCAGGTGCTTCTGCTTTTGGACACTAACAGCAGAATTTCCTTTGAGGGTATCCCTGCTTTTAGCCTTGCTTAGTTCAGGTTGGAACATGGCTATTGCTTCTTATTACAGGTCTTGGGACCCAATTCAACTGCAAACAGCATTATGGCTGCCTACCAGCAGAAGAGGATGATGCCTCCTGTTGTACAAGGTTAGTTGAGGCTCTGAGTTAGGTGTGGATGTGAAATGTCAGTGAGGTTAGTGGGCTTTGAGGCTCTCCAACCATTGCTACCTGCCAGCAGTTGTACCAGTTATTCAGCTGTAGGCGTTTCTTGCTTTTCTTTATGGTGTACTGTCCTGTCTCAGTTGTGCTCCTGGTTCCTGTGTGTGTAATGTCAGTCTGTTTCATGGGAATCGAAAATCTGATTTCTTAAGGAATGTGTTAAATAATTCTTCTTGTAACTTACCTGCTGAATTTTTCTATCTGGCTTTGGCAGTCAGGCCAGGGTCTTGACCAGGGCAGGCTACAGCCTGTCATGTCACTTTGCCATCTTGAAGTTCTTGCAGTTAATGCAAAATTAGGGCTGAGAGACCTAGCAAGGGTCCCAACTACCCTGTCTTCCCTCTTCCCCACTAGTCCTACAGTCTCTTCCCCTGCTAGTCCTGGAATTGCCTGGGGAAATCCTCTAATGAACCTCTAGATGTGAGTTGCCTGTTGCCACTTGCCAGGGCTGGCTCCAGAAAAAACCTTGTGGCTCTTATTCACGCCAAACAGAGAGAGCTGGCTGTTGTATGTGATTGCCCAGTGACAGGTGAATGAATGGAGTTCTGCTTTGTGACACTGCTCGTTGCTTCTTCTTTCTGAACAGTAACAATAACTGAGAGGGGATTGATGTGCCCCAGAGATTTTCTTGTGTAAGCAGCTCTGCTGGCGGCACTCCTCTGTGCAGGCTGGTGATCAGTCACTAAAGGGAAATGATAGATCTTGAGAGATTTCTCAGTGTCCTTTGAGGTAAAGAAAAGTGAAATAAGTAGTTGACAGCTCTTGAAGAACCTGTACTGCTGTTACCCCCCCGTTCTGACACTTGTTCCATTTGCCTTTCAGATCCAGACATACTTACTCCACCAAAATTCAGTAAAAATCTACAGTGGAAACTGCATCTTCTGCAGTAACTAAAAGCCAAGGAATCCCTGTGAACTCTGAACTGTAAATTTTCATATAAGTTCATTATATCTTTACAGAAACTGTTGTTGTCCTGGCTTGTTGTTGTCCTGTCCTGTTCTTAGGGCTGTGCAAGTGAAGGGTCCCTCCACCTGATGCGGCTGTGACTGTGACCTCTATGGTGTCACACTCATGGGGACAGCCACTCACATCTCACTGCAGAGGTGGTTTGTGAAGCTGGGGAGCAAAAGGGTGTGCAGCTCTGAGTGCTGCTGGCCGAATCCAACATCTCCCACCACTGTTCCCTCCCTTCTGGATGAAGCAATCCCACCAGAATGGGCTGTTTTCTCTGCCATCACTCCCTCCCATGGATGGGAGTACATGCCGTGATGACAGGCCACATTTTAAGCACTTCAGCCTGCTCTAGATCTCACCAGTAAGTCTGTACCAATAGCAAACTGTTGTAGTTGCTACACAAATTAACTGTTTTCTCTGCTGAAGCTGGATGTTGCTAATACCAGTTTTTCATCAATATTGCTTTGTTACATCAGAGTGAACCCTGCAGTGCCAACAGCCATTGCTGTCCTGAAACGGTGCTCGTTCACACCAGGGAAATCTTAGGCAGAAGAAAACATGAATAAAAGCAGGGCAGGAGGTGTCAGTGTCATGCTCTGATGGGTAATACTACCTCATAATTACCTAGCTAATTATCTGAGTTTAAAGAAGACGGACTAATGCTGCTGTATGGCACTGACAGATCAGCAGCTGTACCCTGATAATGCTGTGCACCATTGCAGAACTGTGTCATCTGGAAACTGGTCTCGTACCTGAGAGTTAGGTTTCACCCAAGAATACTTCTGTAATCTGATGCAAGCAGTAACAGCAGCAATTCTGGGAGCAGAGGAAGAGGGCAAGGCTGGAAAACCTTTCAGTGGTAGCAGCCCCCTCTGAGTTACTTTTGGCCCAACAGCTGCTGTGTTCAATGCAGGCCGTTTCAGGTGCTATGGAAAAATGCCAGCAAAACCAAGGCACTTCGTGTCTGCTGGAGGTATTTAATGACAAAGTAGTGACCTGTGTTCTTACTGCACGGCATTAGCACATCCAGTGCTGCAGATCAGTGGGTTTGTGCCCTGTATCAGGATGGCCATTTGGTCTTGGGCCCTGTGTGTTATGCTGGCTTGGGCTTGTTCGAGTGGAGTGGTAAAACACTCCTGTGTCAGGGTGAAGCATTGGAGTCCCTCTTGTTTCCAGCTGTTCTGAGTTATGTGGCCTGTCTGGGTGGTGTGGGGATGACTTCAGGCTGTTGTCAAGTACTGTGACTACACATTTAGTAACTTTACGAGATAAGATAACGTGTGACATCTAAGCTAGCATAATCTCAGTGATGCTACATGTAACATAACCTTCATGGATGGGGAGACACATGCAAAGTGCCATGGCCCCTTTCTACCACAAGAGCTGAGGTTTTTCCATAAGAGTACATGGATAAATAGGACTGGTGGGCAACAAGGACAGCAGAAATTCTTCAAACTTCATCTCATCATCTCTCTCCTTATCAGTAATTGGACACTGACACCAGAACAGCATGGCATAGTCCTCCAGCTGAATCTTCACCTGCAAAATACACTCCAAAGTATCTTGGGCACAGTTTCAGTCCACCACTGCCATGTCTTACAGGCTGATGAGTATTAAGGTTATGTTGCTATTCTGAAGTTCTCTTTCCAACAAAGATGTCTTTTTGGTTGCTCTCAGTCTCCTGTATGGGCTTACCAGCTGTGCATGAGAGGATGTGGGAAGGCCATAGCTTCCCTGCAAAGCCACATGAAGTAACCTGTGCCAATGTCTACAAATGCTGCTTTTGTTTCCCTCATGGCCCTGAGGCTGCCCTGAGTCACAGACATGAGCTGACCCTTGTGGCTCCAGCTGCATTTAACTGTGAATCTTGTGGCTTTTCCTTCTGGCCTGTGTCTGCCATGAGGAGGATCGTGGTTCTCAAGCATTTGCAACTGGTCTTGGTCCAAAATAGTTTCCATTGCAAAACATCAGCACTACTTCATCTCTGGGGCCAGTTGAAGCCCTAGTTTGTATAAAGAGTGAATCCACAGACTGGCAGTGCTTTTGTTATTGTTTCTTACTCTCTTAAAGTTTTGCTTTCTAAATTAAGGCATATTATTAATAATGTCAGCAAAAGCTTAAGTGTGACTGGTGTTTGAAATTAGGCCAGAGCCAACCCCTCACACTTACTGTACCCCATTCTGGTGAAAGATGAATGGTTTAAGAAGAGATCTTGCAGAGTGATTCATAAGAGAACAATAAATATTTTAAAGACCCAGAAAAGTGGGAAACAGCAAGGTGTTGCAGAATAGTTTGAAACAAGTAAAGAGATATCACAAACAGAGATCTTGAATTAGATACTGGACACTGCACTTGGCAATGTTCAGTAAGTTTTACTGAACTTAGCTAAATCAGCTAAAAATGGGTCCTTTAGATGAACTTAGTTCATTATAATGTGAAAGCCACGCCTCTAAAGCTTAGGTTACCCACGTCCAAATGAAAACGGCTACCTACTGAACATGCACAATAAATTTGAAATGCTTTCTACCTTAAAATTGAAGCAGGCAAAAGATTGTCCAATAGCTATAGAGTGGGCATGCATTTAGAAATTGGGTAACTCCAGACTTTGGTATTTTGAAAATACAAACACACTGCTTGGCTGTAACTGAGTGTGCTGGCTCTGCGGATTCACCACCCAGCACCCATCTCTGCGCTGGCATGAAATAAACTCGGGTTCCTTGCACACCAGGTGAAAGAACCCATTTCTGGGGACAGTTCCATGACAGGAATGTCTTTGTTCTTTTCCAGCAGCAACAAGTTTACTATTTGCCCATTGAAGTGTGTATAGCAACATGCAGCTGCATGGGGGGACGGAAGAAGAGGACACCCTCTTCCCGCAAAATGCGTTATCAAGAGTTAGAAGCAGCATTTTCCTTGTGTAGCAAAAGCTCTGCGTGCTCTTTTACTGAAAGCCATTTCACCCAGAAGGCATCTTACTTAAGTCAGAGCTGGGCTTAGGATGAAATTGAACTGTACACACCAGTTCTGGACCCAGAAACAGATTTTTATTAGTACTGCTCTGCTGTACTAATTTATTAGTACCTCTCTGCAAATTCACATCTTGAAAATAATCAAATGATTAGAGGCTCACCAAAATTCTGATAGGGAGAAACAGAGCAGGATTAAACTACACAATTTCTGTACCAAACTCAATGTATGCAGACAAGCAACTGCAAACCTTGATAGTTTATTACTCTGGGGAGCAGTAAAGCTGATCATTTCCTATTATGCATGTATTTTTATATAAAAATGCTTAAATACATCTTTGTACAAGAAAGACATTGTCTGCCCCACTTAAAGCCTGAGCAGTGGCTATCCTGCACCCTGGTGAGGGGCAAGGCCTGCTCCATAGCTGAGGGGAAGTTCAGCAGCACTGAAATGTCAAGCCATTCAGTGGCACAGCAAAGTGTGGATGCTATAGCTGATGCTCCTTCCCCTACACTGACAGCACATTCTGTCAGTCACACCAGCACCTGCAACATTATCGCTTAGGAGAAACTTCAGTGACAGGCAGCAGACATGACTAGAAAGACCTCTAAACCCTTTTCTCTGCATTCTCAGTAGAAACCTAAATCTGAGCTCAGTTCAGCTTCTGAATTAGAATAAATCCTTTAATCGAAACAAAACACTTCTTCCGGACTTTTTGGCTCACATACAGATTAGTGTGGCTGTACCACAGCAAAGCTGCAAACACACCTTCAATTTCAGAAATCACTTTATGTTTTTATTTGGTTGAAGGGGGGGTTGTTTTTTTGTCTCGGCTATTACAAAGTCAGTATGCTGCTGTTTCCAGGCTACTTTTCCCAAAATTACATTAGTCATTCCAGTTAACAAACACACATTTCCACTTACATTTCGCAGTCTTTGTTTTGGCCTGAAATCCAAAGGCAGGTTGAGACACCATTTTCTGCAAAGTCATTTTGGCCAGTGTTTCCTGAGATGTTCCTTTAACTGTGGGATTGTGGACAGCTGTTGTTTACAACGATGGCATCTGAGGGGCAGTTTGAGAAGTTCAGACACATGATCTTTCACCATCACTTTTCCCTTGCTTCTTACCATCTCTATCACATCTGGGGGAAAAATAAAGAAACCAGAGGTACTGAGACCACATAGCGTCATGAAACACGTGACACTGCAAATCTTTGTGCACTGCTTTGCATGCACAGCATGTCATTGCTGCATTCTAATTTAAACCAGCCACAAAATGCACTATTACCTACTGCTACTCCCCGGTATCTGAAATCAAATAAAACCTTTCGCTTTCTGCAACAAAATGCATGGCTTACATATTTGTTTGGAAAAAAAGCCCAAAGCCAGAAGCTGCAAGTAGGATTACATGTTATGAAATACCTTTTCTAATATTACCTTGAGAGTTTAAGAAATAGTCGGTAGTAAAAGAGTTCCAGTGCTTTTTGGTTTTCAGGGCCACAGAATCAAAATCCTGGCTGATTACATGCAAATGTAGCTGACTGAAAAAAAAAAACAGATATGAGAGAAGAATGTTAACGCTTCAAGTTCTTTTGCAGTAGTATCAGTTGCAAACTGATGATCCAGCAGAGCTTTGTGGGTCAGTCTTGGCCCTCAGTCCCGGGACAGAAGAAACACAGTCTGTTCTGGAAGCACCACCTCTTGCCAAGCATTTCACTTAAACAATCAAGGTCACTAGCCTGCATATTCCATTGGCCCCTCCCTACAGTCTATATTCCTACTAGTTTCCAGAAAGGCAGAGAGTAGTTTTAATAAACCAAAGATTTAAACTTTGTAGAGTAACTGAATGGGACTTGATCAGTGACCAAAAGGTCCACTCAAGAACCAGAGAACAACTTAGGAGCACTGACTGCAATATTTACAGGCATTTGGATGCTCTGGGATCTGGACTTACACACAAAACTCAAATCCTTGCGTGGTATCAGGCAGGACTTGACAGGCCCAAGAGTTAGTCTCTCATGCCACACTGGTGCCCTGGGATGGGGATGCCCTCGCACTTGGCACTGGGAGCTGGCTGGGGCTGGACCACAGGCATCCCACAGCCCCAGCCCTCTGCCAGAGGAACCCAACAGGCATCTCCCACTGGACACAAGACACTGTGTAGCCCATTGGCATGTATGCAGCAGTGTGCTGCACAGGACCTGGACACCAAGCCGTTTGTGGTGCTCAGGAGGATCAGCTGTTCTCTAGCCATACCAAATCACCTCACAGATTGAGCCCCAAATCTGTGTAACTGAAGAACAGGGTCTCCACCTGATGACTCCTGCAGGTCTTACCTCATACTGGGGATAGCATGGTAACCCAGTCTGAACTCCAGGCTCTCTCTGGCAGGGCACTGTTCAATCATTTTTTGCCCAACTGCATGCATATGTTCCAGGAGTTCAAGATGGTCCCTGGTGACTGACTTCAGGCTGGAAATGGGGTCCCATGGTAAGATAAGCCAATGGTAACGTGCTTTGGGATATTTATCCTTGATGACCACAGTCTTTTCATCTTTGTAAACCTTGCAAAAAAACAACTAGATTACTTTCTGATTTAAAGTTAACTATATTAATCCTATAAGCACTATATTTAGTGGGTTTTGAGATGTTATCCAAAGAGGACTTTTGCTGGAACTAAGTTGCTTCAGGATAAGTGCCCTCTTCCATAATATGCATTATGGAGTGGTGTTGCAGCATCCCTCTTCACATACTTTATAGAAGGAAAAAGCTTTCTATTCTTACATTTTATGCTTATATCTTGGGTCAAAAAAGCACTTTTTTGGTAAGCGCTGTATGAAATTCCACTTCAGGGATGAAAATTAAGCTTCATGTTTAAAAAGTAAGTAAGAATTTCAGTAACTTTATCATTCCCTACAGACAGACTCATTTGAAAGTGCTGGCAATTCCAGGACAATAAGCATCCAGTTCCACAACTGTATGCACTTCAACACTCCAGACTCGAATAAAAATAATAATAAATCAGTCAAGAAATAGGGCCTTCTGATAAGTTATCAGCTAAGCAAGCAACTGGCTCACAGGTTGGGCATAAAGAGTTATAGTGAGAGCAGTGACATCAGGCTGGTGACCTGTGACTAGTGGGGTTCCACAGGGTTCCATCTTAGGCCCTGTGCTCTTCAACATGTTCATAAATTAGTTGGGTGCAGGACTTGAAGGAATACTAAGTAAGTTTGCTGATGACACTAAACTGGGAAAAGCTGTCGACTCCCTCCAGGGCAGAGAGACCCTGCAGAGAGACCTTGACAAATTCAGAGAGATGGGCAATCACCAACTGTATGAAGTTTAACAAGGGCAAGTGCCCGATTCTGCACCTGGGACAGATAACTCTGCTTATCTGCACAAGATTAAAAGAAATTACCCAGAAAAATTCCTGTTGGCACAAAGAAACCAGGTGGAGGAGGAGCCAGAGGTCAGATCCTGTCCCCTGGCACAAAGGTATCAAAGTTAAGTTTGCTGGAAACCAGGAAACTGCACTATGCTTAGAAACAAGGCAGTGCTGACTACAGGAAAACGGGAACCTCCATGACTTGCTTCAAGCCACAACCCCATTTTAGTTGGTTTCCCTGAGGAAACAAAGCAACTGCATGGCTCACCTGCTCTTCCACCAACCTTTTTGACATCTGTTGGCCAAATCTGATAGTATAGAGAGCTCAAAGATAATTAAGATAATGACACTCTGTAAAATCAGTAATCTGCAATCTGCAAAATCATCCCCAATTAATTTTATTACAGAGAGAGATGCAAGTACAATTCAGCCCTCATGCAACACTCCACTGGTTAACCAGATTGTAAAAGTAAGCTGAAGGAATAATCAAGCTCATTTAGCTTTGCTAGACAGGAACTACTGTAAAGTACAAGTGTACAACCCTTACCTGCAATTTTGGATCTTGCATGGAGCTCTTTAGACCCTGATTCCAGTGTCCTAGATGTTCCTACAGCACAAAAGGAAAAAAATAAATTATAAGGCAATTAAGCATCCGATTATATATTTTAAAGGATTCAGTTAGAAACATTCATTAGTATGTAACAGTAAAACAACAGCTGAATGACAGCTATTTCCCTTCCATAAAATACCAACATATCTACTCCAACTGCCCCCAAAAAGCTACATTTGAAAACTTTTAACAAGATACCGTGAAGCTGAAAAGTTAAATCTTTCAAATGTTGGAAATATAACATCAGGGAGCTCTAATTCTGTTTGAATTTAATAATCTGTATGCACATATCATGGCACAAGGCCCTCTGCTTCAGGGATCACCAGGGCCACAAGAAGTACAAAGATCTCCATTAACTGTCCTATCCCACACTGCTCTGTGCAGAATAAAGTAGTTGTGGTGTGTGGCCCTACTCTTAGATGTACTGATTTTTTTGTATTGTGCAGTGGCTTGTAGAACAAACAAAAAAAGGCAGGGGAAGATCAAGCCAACAGTAGCAGCTCTCTTCACTTGGTTACTGAACACTTAATAGAAGGGCTGCCTCGAGTGCACCTCTTTCAAAACAGATGCTTTATGTGTTGAGATCACTTTACAAGCATTATCAATGATGACCCTCAGCATATTTGTATAGAGGAAGATGTTCAAACATTATTATAGTGCTGGCAGAGACACAGTGTGAATCATCTTATCTGCCGGCTCATTCCACAGATCTGGCCCCAGTGTAACTAGCCCAAATCCACGAATGAGGTAAGTGGTTAACCCACTGCAACCTGAGACTGATATTTCGTCCTGAGGGGTTTCATTTCTGTGCCTTCTCCTCCAGCAAGTACACTGGTTCCAAATGCATTAAGCAGTCTTTTATTTTGCCCGTGTTCACAGGGCTAAAAACTCCCTTTCAAATGATTCTAGCTGGTTACATTCATTAATGTAAAAATGGTTTTACTGAAAGGAATGAACAAAGCAGGAGGGGGAAAAAAAC